AATCTCTTGATGTTCGTGACCATAGTCTTTGGAAAGCTATTAAAGTGCTTAAAAATACCTCTAACACTATTCCTGTGCTACAGACCAGCAATGGGCTAGCATTGGATGATAAATCCAAAGCTAATTCTATTGCAGACGTCTTTGAAAATGTCCACCACTTAACAGAAGGCCTCAGCAACAAAACAACTGAACAACAAGTCAATAGTCATTACCAAAATTTATTAAATAATAAAATCAGTAAGTCAGACTTCCCTCATATATCACCTCGTGAAATTGCTACCGCGATCAAAGCAACAAAACCTAAAAAAGCCCTCGGCTTATTAAGCAGTTGTTTTTACATTTGTTATAAATGTCCATTAAGCCACTGGTTATGACCAGTACTAATTCCCTATAACTTTGAAAACTAAATTAACGGTGAATTTATTTGAAATAGCAATAAGCGGGAAAACTGTAGCTTCGACCTAATTCAATTCATCAATCGGAAGCACTAACGTCCTCCGGCAATTGAAGAAGCCTACAGCTTCCTTTACTGAGTCAATAAAAATAAACATACAACTTAACTCGAAAAAAAAAATTGTCTACGGACCTTGTGATTTCATTAAATTACATGTAATTGGAGCGACCACGGCTGGGGTGAATCCAGAGACCATGTCATCTGGATAAACATCCGTCGATGGTATTGATCAAAAAAATACAGTACGGAAAAAGTAAAAATAAATGAAGAAATAAGAAGGAAGTTAATTTTCTCTATAAAATCTTACAATTTTTCTTGGCAACCATAACCATCAGGGAATCTCTATCAAACTGCAAACTTTGTTACTACCGTGAGCATCCCATCTGTGGCCAAAGGGGATTTAATAATTAACCCTCTCGTGAATTATCTACTTCTTTATAAGGCTATATACATCTCTTAGGCAATATTTATTCTTGCAGAATGTAACTAATGAAAAGTTACGAGTATAAATAAATTCTTAAATATCCTCGAGCTACAAGTAATCTGTATTCTTTTAAATTACGTGTCTTATTTTAACACATTTAATATTTTGTTATGGTATCGACATGGAAAGAAATGTTCTTCAAAAATTACCGTAAAAATCACAGTAATCGTGTGGAAAGTCCAAAACTGTTTTATATAAGTCACCAAATTATCCCCAGTGGAAAAAAAAACGAATAATTTTCGAGTTCTTAAGGTATTTTTCAATTTAAATGCAAAAAACGCGGTGTCTTAAATATTGTTTATCGATACACGAAGAGAATTTAATGATGAATACAACTATCCGAGTATTGTAAAAACAGGCTACTTGGTATGAATGATTGCAAAAACTATCCAAATTGTTAACTGAACCATCCAGATAGTTACATTTACCATCTGGATAATAATTATTACCATCTGGCTGGTAACTTAAAGATGGTAAACTTAATCATAATATATATTAACCGCTAAAATCATGTTGATTGTAAATTCTACAATCATGATGGTAATTATTACCATCGCAGCTAGTAATATGATTAGTCAATACGTGACTACTGTGAGTTGTGAATTATAAATAAACAAAAATTTCGCTTTATTAAATAATGACTTGTTAAATTGTCTGTACTTTCTTAAATATTAACATTTTTGAAGATATAAGCATATATTTTATATATTTACATATAATATATATACCCGGGAAAAAAAATTTAGATCTGCTCTGATCAAATTTGATCTGCTCTGATCAAATTTGATCTGAGCAGATCAGATTTGATCTAAATTTAGATCTAAGCAGATTTGGACAGATCTAATTTGATCAAAATGTAATTGAAAAGTAGATATGAATAGATCTGTTCTGATCAAACTAGATCCACTCATCAAATTAGATCAATCCAGATCAAGTTTGATCAAAATGAAATTAAAAAGTAGATATGAATAGATCTGTTCTGATCAAACTAGATCCACTCTGATCAAATTAGATCAATCCAGATCAAAATGAAATTAAAAATTAGATATAAATAGATCTGACTTGATCTATACAGATCTAATTTAATCTAATTATTATGCGGGAAAAAAAGTTTAGATATGATCAGATCAAGTTAGATCAAATTAGATCAAGCTTGATGAATATATGTAATCATAAAGGTGATATGGATAGATCTAATTAGATCTGCTCTGATCATAGCAGATCTACTTAAGTACGACTTTTCATACTTTATGTTCTAATAAATAGCTCTTACAAATGCACTATCTTTGATTAAGTATTTTTCATTTAATACAAATTATAACCGGATGCTATTGTTTCAATAGAAACTTTGAGTATTCTTCTTTACAATCACGTGCATGAAACCTGGTGTTAAGTAATTTATTTATTTGTAATTAATCATCAAAATCGTTGAAGATCAAGAATTTTCAATTTTCAAAAAGGACATTCGGCAGCCGAAATGGAAGTAGATTTCATAAATAAAGATGAAAATATATATAGATTTATAGGAGATACATTGGACAAATCAATCGAAAAAACGGCTGCAAGAGTAAAATTTCATTGAAACCTACAGACGAATAGGTTATTTTAAGTTTAGAAGAATGAAATGGTACGAAAATTACAGCTTGTTTAATGGACTATAAAATGCAATTTACAAAAATTCGATAAGTTATTTCATTCAAAAGTTATGCGCGAAAGAATCAGCCAAAAAATGAATTTTTAGGATTTTGAAAATTTTGAAACCCTGTAATTTATGAACTACTTGACCGATTAAGCTCATCATTAAACTTGGCCTTGGTATTCGTCAAAAAATAAAGTATGATGAGTTTGGAAAGGATCCATTATGAATTAGAGACGCTATCGTCCGGATAAGCCGCGTTATATCGTATATATATTAGGGCTCCGTGCCTTTATTTATCTGTCATAATTTCTCGAGACAAAAAATTCTCAACAAAAATTTCTCATACAAAAATTTATCGCATGCAAAAAATTCTCAAGCAAAAATTTCTTGATTAATTAAATTCTTATAGAACAAAAAATTATCCGTCAAAAATTTCTCAAATTTATAATTAAGGATTTACAATAAATTAAGGTTTATATAATATGCGTGAAAAAATTATCTTATAAAAATTTATTAAATATTTTCTTATCACAAAAAAATCATTAATTAAATGAATATTCATTATAATAATAGTAATTAATGAATATAAAATACAAATAATATTAATTAAAGCATATAAAAAAAATAATATTTAAAAAGATATATTGTACCCAATGCCACGTAAATAATCAATTATAGGAC